TTTCTACTCCTGCAGAAAAACAGGCTTCACAGCATGCTCATACACTCCCAAATGGCATGTGCTTGTCACTGGCATTGCAGTCAGTAAAAAGGAGTCTGATGCTCATGTTTTGTTCAGATGAGAACAAAACTCCACCAAGCCCCTCTGCAGAGAGTCAGAGTAATTAAAGCACTGCTGGCTGCAAGGAGACATGACAGAAACCATCAGCCCCACCACACTCAATAACTTGTTCTCCTTCAAGGGGATAGCTTTTCTGCCAAATTTTTCCCTTCCTTCCTCTGCATGTGATGTTCCTAGCCTGGGAAAGGTAAAGCATCATTGCATCTTAGCGTGCTGTGCTGCCAGGGGCAGGGACAGCTTTTCTAGCAATGGTTTGCAGCAAGCATCAGCACGTTGCTGGGTTTACTGCTGACCACCCCCTAGCTGTTTCTGTGGAGTCTGAAATGCTTTTCCTTTGATGTAAGGACGCTGGAAACTTCACGTAATGGCAACACAATGCAACTTGGAAACTGTCCGCCCTCTTCTTTCTCACAATGCTTAGCAGGGAGCTCTGGCACAAGACTGCCAGTGGCTCTGAGGAAGACTGCTCACAGGTGATGTAACACCCTGGCATAAAATGCCTTTGAGCTTCCTCCTCTTATCAGGACAAGAAGCTGCATGCAGAAGTGCTGGCATGGTGCAGAAGGGTTTAGAGTCCTAAGAGTTACTGGAAAAGGGGCCAGTGGGTGGGGGGAAAGATCATATGGGCTCTTTTTTTAGCCCACCAGAGCTTTTTGACATTATGTATTTGGAGAAACTGCTATCTGCTATCCAGGTAACTCCCTTAGCAGCCTGATGGAGCTGGGAAGCTTTCTGAAAACAGCAGAGTCAGAGAGTTTCACTTGGCTATCCCCTCTTTGCTTTATATCTGATATTAAATACATTTCCCTGCACTCCTCAAAATCAGTAACAGTATTATTGGAACAAGCTGTGTGGGTCCTCAAATTCTGTCCTCTGCTAATGATATCCTGTCAGTCAGCAGCAGAACTTGTACATGCTTGAGATTACTGAAGCTCTTGACTGCAGGTTTTTCCATGGCACAACACAAGGGATAATCTGGCCTTGTGAGCATACAGTGAAAAAAATTGAGCTTTATTAAAGAAATCAATACTTTCAGCCTAGATTATGCCTCCTGCCAGGGAGGTGACATCATTATGAGTCCAGGTATTCATATTCTGCTGAGCTGGCATCTAAAATAGATCTCATGTTTCCCCAGACTTTTCAGAAACTTCTGCTCAAACCCTTAGAACTTCAATATAGTAACTTCAATGTTCTGCTGGGTTTTTACAGTGCTGTGATCTGATAATTTCATCGCTGGCAGCCTACACTGTGCTTGACCTCACTAAATGTATTTAGGATTAGATGCAAACCATGTGTGTCATTTAGATAAGTCTCACATCAGGCTGAAGTGTTGCATGCAAGACCCTCAGAATGAATGATCCATCTCCCTGGGGGACCAGGAACACATACTGGGTCCCAAAAACTTCACTGAACTGGAGAGGAATATGAGAACCTCTCAGTTAAAACCCACTGCTCAATCTCCTTAAAATCCCACCAGCACTCACTTGTAACAGCTCTGAAGCTGCCTCCATTTCTGCTTGGAGCCTCTAAAGCAAAATAAAATAAAAACATAACCAATAATAAAGAAATCAATAATCTTAGAAAGCACAATCTTCTCATACTGAGAATGTTTTCCATATCTGTAAGTTGGACTTGAAACAATTAAAAACCAAAAATCACAGCCCCAGTAAACACTAGAATCATCTGTTGTATTTTCATTAATTTGTGCAGACTTCAAAAATTTATCATGATCTGATTTATAGTAGAATAAATGTATAACATTGCTGAGATGCATGGACGCTTAGACAAGGAAATTAGCTAAACACATAGTTCCCTCTGTGATAGGACAAATCTGGGTAATGCTGGGCACAAATTATTTTTTCACTTGCTGATACTGCACTTGAAAACACCTTTTACTAGGGGCAAGTTTGGGGGATGACCAGTGAGAAATTAACCAAGGTACCATGGGAAGCACTGCACAGTGTCTGACCTCCCAGTCTGGTAAACAATAAACTCTATGCTAGCTTCAAAATAGCTTTCCTAATAGGCAAAATAGCTGAAATTAGGCTCTTATGAGAACACACGCAAGACAGTTAGTCAGTAGTAACAGTATTTGGATAAAACTAGTTCTGACAAAAAAACAGTGTCAGAATATGAATATACACCCTGCAAAGTAAAATCTAGATTAACAAGAACAAACTTTCAGAAAAGGATAGCAAAGGTTACCAGCAGAGCAGATTGACTCTGCCATAAGCAGACACGGGGCTATGCTTACCAGATCAAACGAGGATAAGATAATGCCAGGTGAGTGGAAGGTACTTAGCGGATGCAAAACCTGAGCACGCTGATGTGTGCCAAGTCTTTTGAGAAGAAACTAGGTCAAACAAGCTGATGATTTACTCAGCTTTTCAAAACATGGAAAACAACCCTTGCATAAAACTACTGTACGGGTAAAACCTTGAGAAGTTTGTTCTGAGGTGACAAACGTGCTTCAGGTGAATTTTACATGTGAAGGGAGAACTAGTTTTGTGTAGAGCCTGTGGGCTTTCCCATGGCTAAGAAAGCAGAAGAACAGAGAGGAAACACACACCCCCAAACCCCCCAGTCCACCCGAGCTGCCGAATCAGCAGGGGAAAGGAACGGGAGCTTGTAATACACTTGAACACTGCTTTTCAGAAATAAACTGTCCTAATTATAATCTGCTGAGCTCAAAATGACAAAAGTCAGACAAAAAGCTGGCAGACTGCAGGAGCCAGGCTGCCTACAGGGGCCTGCCACGATGGGTTAGGTTGAAATTTCTCCCCAGGTCAGTGAGTAGAGGCATCATCTGAAATTTTGGGTGAGTCAGAAAGAGTAGCTTATAGCAGGTGTTAGGCAGGAACATAGGGAAGGATAGGATCAGGTCAGGAAGATGCTGAGGAAGGTGGAGGGGGCAGTGGGGCTGCTTGGGCAACAGCAGGCGTGTTCAGGATGACAGGTTGAAGGAGTGCAGGACAGCAAGGAGGAATGCAGCAGGGCTGGATCCAGGCTTTATCTTAAATAAATTCTGAACTATGCTATCAGGAAAGAAAAAGAGAAAAAGAGACCTGCAGAGTAGATAGAATGACTATAAATAAAATAACTGTGTATTTACAGATAACAAATATACCTATTCATACTTATATTTATAAAATTTATTGATGAAAAAATCAATAAAAAAAAGTATGTGGTAAATTTTTTCATTCTTTCATTTGCTTTTCTTCATTCCAAGGTATTATTCCCAAGTGTTGCAGTAAAGTATCCTTAATATTGCTCCTATAGGAATGGACTTGATATACTTATGTCTGACCCTCATGGTTACTCTGTTTCTGACAAACTGACTAAATACTAAACATGAGAAAATGAAATAGTGGATGTTGGACTGTCTTCTAGCTCACTCAGCAGTGGCTCACACTGAAGAGTGTTTTATTTCATACCAGCATGGCTCCTTAGTCACAGTGAGAACTTCCTTTCTTTGAGTATGGTCAGACCTTGCTAGGTCTGCAAAGCTTCTCTCTCCCCATTGGGATCTCTGCTGTTTATTTTTTATAGTCTGTAGGAAATGTTATCAAAAGACAAAATCTATTAGCTCTGGAGGCTACCCGAGGAGACATGGTAAATAACTGAGCATCATCACACGCAGTTCCAGCAGGGTTGGGAGCAGGACAAGTTGGACAAGAGAGCACAGGCATTTCTTGCAGCAAAGCTTGCTCTGACTCATAGCCTCTTGTCCGACTTTGAGAGATCCTCTCCCTTCATGCAACCTCCAACTCAAGAAACAACAGCCGCTAACACTTCTGCTTCTCCTAGTGCTTGCTTCCCTCAAAGCCTAGCATCAAGTTTTTGCTATGATGCTTGAGGTCAGACTCTTGGTCTTGCTCATGGTGAACACCAACTTGTTCCACAGGAACAGATACTGGCTTTGCTTATGGAGCAGGACTCCAAGATGCACATAAATTATGCACAGTCTGGTCATTCAAGATTCATTACAAATAAAACCAGAAAGCAAAAAATCTCAGCAAGTTGCAGCTGCCAGCACGCAGGCAGCAGTACACGGAAAGAACATTTTAAGGGGAGGGAAGAGGTAACCCTTCTCATTCTCTGACCTGGTGTGGAGGTCATTTTGAGTCATTTCACAGTCCAGGCAGTCTGGGCCCAGGTGGCATGTCACCCAGTGTCTGTGCCAGCAGCTCCGCGGGATCTGTCACCCAGCCAGCACAGCCCGCCTCACTGCACAGTGCTTGTGCAGGAGGGCTCCTGGGTGCTGCCTCCACCAAGCTCGCTGGGCTTCATTCCTGGGGCTCCATCTCTGGTCTGTGTGAAAAGGTCGTTCCCATGCTGCCTGGCATTCCTGTGGGCAACGAGTAGGTGATTTGGTATTGGATTAATAACGAGCAGGGGATAAACCCACATCTCCCGCAAGACATAGGGAGCCCTGTGCGTTATCCTGAAACCGTCAGGGCCAGTGTGCAGCAGCCCTGGGAAACTGGGAGATGGGGACACTTATAAAAAGCAGCTGAAGCCTCGGGCAGCTTTCTCCAGCATGCTGTAGACAGCCCTAATTGCCGGCCTTTTGTGAAACTATTAAGGCCCCTCCTAATCAGTCCCCAGTGGAGCAGTGTTTCGGCGGCAGCTGCGGTGCCGAGTCCCCGAGGCTCCCACGAGCCGGGCGCGGACTCCCACAGGAGCCTTCTCCCGCTCCTCACGTCCTGGGAAACCTCATTCCCGACCCCTGTGCTCTGGGGAAACACGGTTACGGAGTCTGCAAGTATGTCAAGCAAAATCCTAAAACTGGGTAAAACCACAAGCTGGGTCCTGCGGTGGGAGGCCGCAGCTGGGACATCTCCCGCTGCCTCCCGGGCAGGGCCGACCCCTCCGGCCCCGGCCCCGGCCGGCCCAGCGCGGGCAGGGCCAGCGGCGGGGCCCGGCCCTCATGGCTCCGCCCCGGCCCTTTAAGGCGCCGCGGGGCCGCGCCGTGCCGAGAGGCGGCGATCCGAGCTGAGGTGAGTGCTGGGGCAGGGGGGGCTGGATCGGCCCCCGGCCCGGGCAGGGGTCGGGGGTGGCGAGCGGCACAAGGCGGGCTGGGGGTGATGCTCACCCGGTCCCGCTGCCTGGCTGCTCTAATGATGGAGCTGCCACGCACCGGGCTTCCCCGACGGGCCGCCGAAAAAGCCGTCTAGGATAACTGGATAGCCTGGAATTCTTGCCTGTCTGTCTTGCGGCTGGCTTAGGTCTCCTGAGTCAGAGCCGCTGTTAACAAACGGGTCGGAAAGGACTTGGCGGCACCGCGGCTTGTCCCGCGGATGACGTGCTGGCTGCGAGCAGCTGCCATCAAGCCGCAGCAGACAGCCAGAATTGTTGGTGTTGGCGGTGAGATCACCTGGATTTTAATTGCTGCTTTTGAGCTCCCCAGGGGCCTGCGTGAAGTAGCCAGGGAGTCCCGAGGGAGCAGGGCAGGCTTGAGGCGGGGCTGGAGGTCTGAACGTGCTCCCCGCGGGGCTGGGGAAGGAGCCCGGGGCAGCGCTGCTGGGGCCGGGCCGGTGCCGTGTCCCGGGCAGCGCTGCTGGGGCCGGGCCGGTGCCGTGTCCCGGGCACAGCTGCTGGGGCCGGGCCGGGCCGGTGCCGTGTCCCGGGCACAGCTGCTGGGGCCGGGCCGGTGCCGTGTCCCGGGCACAGCTGCTGCAGGCACCGGCCTGAGGCGCCTCCGGAGGACCGCTGCCAGGAGGAGCTCCTGCTGTTGAGTAACTGAGGAAATATTGCCCTTCTTCCCACGCAAGCGTCATAGGAACATCACGGGAGGATAAATGGAAATACCTTCTCTGAAAGAGAATACGGTTACCTTGACCCTTGATGAGTACCGACTTCAGTTCCTTTTTATTTTTCATTTAATGAATTCCCAAAGCCCTTATCAGAAGTTTTGAGTCAGCTAATGGTTGTCGGGTCGTCTAGTATTCTGTCTCTCTCGGGGAAGAAAGGGTGGAGCTGCACCCTGTGTTGCCCAATATTGCATGTGAAATCTGGGGTAAAGCTGGGGAAACCTGATTCAGGTCCTCAGCTCTAGTTTGCATGAAAACGAAATTATTGTTTGCTGACAAAATGATTAAAATAATGTAGGCGCATGTAAATGCACAATAAAACACGAGCATGGCGGTGATGAGAGGAAAAGAGAGAAGTAGTTCTTGTACCAAATACCATTTACATTTTGGAAAGCATACCGAGTGGAAAGGAATCTCTTCTCTTTTATTTTTTTTCCAGTCCACGCATTCCTTTTCCAAAGCGTTGTGCAGCCTATATTCTCTTTAGCTAAGGACGCTCTTTGCTGTGATTGATGTCAGCTGCTGTGCAGTAGCACAGCCAAGCACTTGGATAAAAGAAAATGGAATCTTGAGTTTTAGACTGTACAGTTGTGCCAAGAATGACAAAAGCAAAGTGGGAAATGTCATAAAACTAATTTTATGAGCCAGGTCAGGGTATTAGTGCTAAACCATGGAGCAGTAATGATGCTAATCCCATGGAAGTATTAAACAAAGGGCTATCTCAGTAATTGGTGTCAGTGTGCAAATGGCACTGCTCAGCCACTCTGAGCAAGTTTCCTAAGCTGTTGCTTAGGAATGTACCTAAGGTGCCCCAGTTTAGGTTAATAAACTAATCTTATTTTCCCACATGCCATGAATTGCTGTCTGCCTGTCTTGGACAAAAGTCTTGCAGCAGCTACCTGGCAGCTGTCTTACTTGGGAACCACACATCCTACCTTGCATCCCTAAAACTGCTGACCTGCTGCTCGTGCTGAGGGTGGGAGGCTTGTTTTACCAAGCAAGATGGGTCATGTAATTCAGGTTTAGCCAAAACTGCTGCTCTCAGTTGTGACTGGGGAGTCTGCTCTGCCTTGCCTGGGGTGCGAGGCAGCTCGCTCTGCGCTGAGGCCTGTCCCACACGTTGGGAGAAGAGCCCCTTAGTGAAAAGAGCTCTTGAAGCAAAGTGCTCCTCTCTGGCTCCCTGGGGTGGCACTTCCAGTTCCTCTCTGTTGACAAGGGAGGCAATGGAGATTGGTAGTCCTCTGCTTCTGGCTCAGAGGGATGAGTGCAGAGTTAACTGAAGGCAGCAGGCTTTGTGTGTATCTTCTCCTTGTCAAGCCTAGGAGAGATTCTCAGGGCAACTGAAGGTGAGTTTTGCAGAGAAAAGTCAGAAGCTTCCAAGAAATTCCTTCCGAAATTCCTCCCTAATCTCCCTCCCTGAAAATTGACCTGTACTGCTGTGTGGGGACTCTGCAGGGAGGGAATGCTCCTGCTGGTGGGGTAGGGTGGCAGGAGGTGCCTTTTGAGCTTCCAGTGGGCAAACCATGGTCCTCGTCCAAAAGCCCTGTGTGAATGAGGATCAGTGAGGAGCACTGGGGTGATGAGTGCTGAGCAGCTCTGCTGGGTAGAGCTCTGGAGGCAGTAACCCTGTCTGGCTGCTCTTGGCAGCTCTGTGCTGGGGAGAGCTGGTGGTGCTGAGCTGCAGGAGAGCAAACCAGCCTTAAACAGCAGTCACAAGCCAAGGGCAGTTCAGGCTGACAGCAAGATGAGCCTTCAGCAAACACAGCTGTGTTAGCTCATGGTGGTGGCAGCAGGAGGAAAGCCCCAGAAATCTGGACTGTGGTGGGCAGGGCTCTGCTTTGGAGCTGTAACCCCAGGCAGTTGTGGGAGGAGCTGGGGGGAACCGCTGATGGTGGTGCCAGAGAGTGCAGGGGAGTTCGGCAGGGAGCAGATCAGCTTGAGATGGGACAGCTACTGCTTCTGGCTTAATGTAAGAGACGGTTCCCAAGGCTACAGGTTGACACAGTGGGTAGATGCCTGTCCCCACAGTTTTCTGAGTGTCTATTGCAAGTAATGCATGAGAGGGGTTTTCACTTCCTTTTAAATCAGCTGTGGCTACTTGAGCAGTTGGGTTTGGTTGATATACTGGCCTGGTAAAGGTGCAGTTCATGTAACAGGGGTGGAGTCCCTGGAAAATAGTCCCCCTTAAACTTCTTTGAAGTGCAGGTGTGATCTCAAAGGAGCTCAGAATGTTCCTACAACTGTAATATGTAGTTTTCTGGTGAAGTGAACTTTGGCTTGTACCGCATCCCAAATGACAGGCCCTGCAGTAAAACAAAATGTCCTTGTTGGTACAATTGGTTTGCTTCTGTCAGGCAAGAGGCCCAGCATTAGTGAAGCATAGAAACTGAAATTATATCCATCTGGGGGGGCATTCGTTCCAGGTACAGTAAAGCTCTTGTGCATGAAACTGTAATTTGTGCATATCCAATTTATGTAAGTTTCAAAATCCCCAGGCAGGGATAGAGGACATGGCTCGTGAAGACTGTGTCTCTGTTTTTCTTGCTGTTCAGCAGCAGTGGTCTCTGTTCCCCTTGCCAGCTAGTCTGCTTTTACAAATAGCCGTAGAGAGCCTGCCTAAGCCTTTAAGTCTGCTCTGGCATCTGAAGAGCTGGGAAGTTGAACTGGTCCCAAAAACTTCTCACGCAGTGGAGGGTCACTGTTTTTAAACAGTTGATGAAATTACAGAGTTGTGCTCTGATGCCACACAAACTTCACAGACCTGGTTTAAAGGAGCCTGTAAGCCCAGTTGTCCTGGGCCACGGTGATGGAGGACACTGCATTTAACAAACATCTCCCCTTCTCCCCTGCTGCCTGGCTGGGCACACAGAACCACCATGCCGAACTGGGGAGGTGGCAACAAATGCGGTGCCTGTGGCCGCACCGTCTACCACGCTGAGGAGGTGCAGTGCGACGGGAGGAGCTTCCACCGGTGCTGCTTCCTCTGCAGTAAGTATTCTCCTCCAAAATCTCTCCTGCCATAGCTGTGGGGGTCACAGCACAGGAGGCGTCCCAGACTCAGCTGGTACCTGTGACACACTGGGGATGGCAGTGGCCAGAGGTGACTTTGTCCATCATGATTCCTGCTTCCCCATGTGCTTCCTGGGCTTGGCAGTCCTGAGGGGAGAGCTCACCTGCTGGAGAGGTTTTGTCATATCAGGGGTGAGATGTATGTCTCAGAGCAAAGCACATCCATTTGCACTCTTGCCAGCCTTTTCCTCAGGAGTCTAAGGGATCCTGAGGCTGGAAGCCTGGCTTAAGTGTTGCTCATGCAGAGGAGGAAGGCCAGTGGCAGAGCCTTCTTTGCACTGATCTGAGCTCAGCTGGGCTTCTCCCCTTGTTCCTGGGGCTGGCAGAAGCTGAAGGAACGGTTACCAAACTGCTGCCCTGGAGTCCTGTGCAGACCAAGACAGCAGTGCTCACGAACACAGCCGAGTTGTTGATGCTTTAGCACAGCCAGAAGCCTAAACTTTCTTGGCACAGAGGCCTGTGGTTTATTTCAGATGAAAGGAGTCCAAAGCATTATTTTCCAGTCCAACCAACAAGCCCAGTGAGGCATTGAAAATCACTTTCTATGCTGAAAATACCTCTGCTTAGATGAAGGGAACAAAGGGTCTCTGTGAATCAGAGGCTCCTACTTTGCAGGCAGACAGCCTCTCTGTCTGAATCAGAGAATTGTACCTTATTGCAAACATCAGGTACTCTTTTTGCCCCACTTGTTGGTGATTAATACATATGGACAGAGCTAGGGTTCAGCCTTGTATTGGCTGCAGTTACAGCTGTGCCTCTCAGACAAGTTTGCTGTTAAGTCTGCTGCCTAACCTTGGTGTGCTGTGCTGGCATTGAGAGCCCCGGCACACCTACACTCCTTTCCTTGAGCTCTACAGTGGTTACAAAAAACAAAGATTAGATGCCTCGGCTGCCTCATTTTCAGCCTTTTATGGGAGTTACTATTAAAAGAAACCTGGAACTTGCAGTCAAACAATGGCTCTAGTGTGTCTGAATACATGGTTTCCTTAGTGCATACTTATGTTGGGGTTAAAGTCTGTAGACTTAACAAACATGCATTAATTGATTTACCTATTGGATATTAGTGTCTTATAAAAAGAACCTTAGAGCTAATGATTGCCATAAGCAAAAGTCGCCCAATGTTTTGCAGACATTAAAATCTTTAAACAAAAAATTCATGAGGGCGTTTCTTTTTTTCTCCCCAAAATTCTTTTCCATGGACATAATGCTGTTGCAGATGGAAAGAGCATGCCAGTTGGCACACAAAAGGAGGTTTAAGAAGGAAATAGTTCTCCCTTCTACTGTAACCTTGAGTAGAGGGCTTGCATTGTGCTGGAGGACCATTTAGGAATGCCAGAAAAGCACAGCCCCTCCGGTGACAGCTGTGAACCAGCCCCAGCTCTGCCCTGAAGCAGTACTGAGGTGGGGGATAGGGGTGGGAAACCTTGATGATTTGGTTTTTTTCCCAACCCCACTCTGGCCAAAAGGATAGGGCAGGGCAGGGGCTCTTCTGTACTGATAGGCTTTTGCTTCATGCTCTATGGCATCTGTCAAGGGAAACTGCTGACTGCCCTCTCTGGGTTTCTGAGCAGCCTTGTTCATCAAACCACGGCAAGTTTCCAGGCTTTAAATGTCATGGTCATGAAGAGGTGGGAGGGAATAGAGCCCTTTATGGGGCTAAGCACAATTCACAAATTCAAACAGCAACTTTTTCCCCTCTAATCTCTGGTGGTCCTACTGCCTAATGGGAATTTTGGACAGGGAAAACCATAACATCATTTCTCACTTGATTTTTGGCTTATTGTATGTGCTGATGGAAATAGTCTCTTAGGGCAGATTAACTTTTTTTTTTTTTACCTCCAGTGGTCTGCCGGAAAAACTTGGACAGCACAACTGTAGCAATTCATGATGCTGAAGTTTACTGCAAATCTTGCTATGGGAAAAAGTATGGGCCAAAAGGTTATGGATATGGCCAAGGGGCAGGCACGCTGAACATGGACAGGGGAGAGAGACTAGGAATCAAGCCTGAGAGGTGAGTGAACTGAGCTGGGGGGTGCGTGGCCCTTGTCCTTCAGTACTATTTTCAGAGGAGTCTTTCAGGCTGGATTTTGTTTATGTTCATGTTTGGAATAGAAATGCTGCAAAAATACCCCGGTCTAGTTGAATGCAGGGCATTGAACCTGCGTTGCACAAAGCTCCCACTGGTGACTCTGTGAGTCGGAACAGTAGAAGCAGGAGTTAGTGCAAGCAGGGACGTGCTCATCTTCTGAATGAGCCATAGGGGACTGGATTATGGAGCTGCTGATGGCATTGCATGAGCTCACAGAGGTGAGTCTGGGTGTCACATTGCTCTCCTGTTCAACAGGTTCTTGCAGGGATGGATTTGGACAGCTGAGAATCTGGGGCTACAAGCAGAATGAATTTTTAACTGGCAAATGAAGAATCATTTGTGCTTAATTATAGCCAAAACCAAAAGTCACATTAAATAGTAAACACTCCTAATCTGATTAAGTTCTTGCTGTAAAGCAGACCATGTGCAAAGAAGCTGAGATACATCTCACAACTTGCTTCATGCAAGTTCCCAAATTATTGCGTAATGTTTATATGATATATGCTCTGCAGCCAAGGTTCAGTGGTCCATTCAGGTTCCTAATTATAATCAATGGATAGGGACTTAATGGAATAATTTGTAGCTTACTATCTGAAAAATCCATGTTCTGGTGGAGTTCAGTTCTTCTAGTTAAGTGAAAAGGGGAAGGCTCCTCAGGAAATCAGCCTTTACAGTAGCTTCTTTTTATCCTTTAAAGCATGGCCTTTCTTTTCTTGTTGTTGTGGCTTTGGTTTTTTCCCTACCAAGTGTAATTGGATAGCCTTGCTGGTAACTTACTTCTTCAGTTTTGCAGCAGTACTGTGTTCTGTACCATGTGCTGGGTGCTGGTCTGTTCATGTTGCTAAGCAGAGCAAGAGATCATTTAGTAAAAGAGCAGAGAAAACAAATGTCCTGTTTCTTTCAGCACGCCTTCTCCTCACCGGCCCACCACAAATCCAAACCCTTCCAAGTTCGCTCAGAAGTTTGGAGGGACAGAGAAATGCTCTAGGTGTGGTGATTCTGTTTATGCAGCAGAGAAAGTAATAGGAGCTGGAAAGGTAAGGAACTTCATGTGCTGTTTTGTTCCTGCTGTGTGGACTTCAAATTGAACAAGGTGTGTTATGTCAGTCCCAGCAGGGAACCAGCTGCAGGGCACTTAGCTTAAAATTGCATTTCTTTGCACTGGAAATAGTCAAATCAATCAACTTAATTGGAAAAAAAAAAAGGCACTTCAAATGCAGGGTTATGAGTGATCACCTTAGATTTCAGAGGTGAGTATTTTATATTGTCTCATGCGAGAGACTTTAAGCAAACAACAGAAGCCCCTCTCACCCAGAAGAGGAAACAATCTTTAGGTGTGCAGCTTGTGAGGGAGGCAGAATGTTTCATCTAAAGGGGATGGTCTCTGAAAATACCATGTTAAACTGCATGTCAGGCTGCCAGCTGTCTGACTCACTGACTGCAGAGAGCCAAGATGTGCTCTGAATTCATCACAGCAAGCCCAAACCTTTCAGAATGCTGCTCTGGGCAGGATGCTGGGTGGGATCTAGGGCTTTGTGCTGCTCGCAGAAATGCAGGTACTCTTGTCTGCTACTGGTGCACTTGAGCTGCTTTTCATTGCACCAGTCTCTAATCAATAGTGATGTAGATATCTCCAGTCAATGTGGTTTTTTACCAACTTGGGCAGCCTATGTATTAATACTATCTTATTTTTTTCTTCTAGCCATGGCACAAGAACTGCTTCCGATGTGCCAAGTGTGGCAAAAGCCTAGAATCTACAACCCTAACTGAAAAAGAGGGAGAAATCTATTGTAAAGGTGAGAAAAGACGCAAAGAGCATTTGTTTATGGTTCAAGATACCTTACAAGGACAAATAGTCAATATCTTGCTGATATAAGAACTTTCAGGCTCATGTTCACATGGAAGTGCTCTGTAAGTCCTAGCAATAGAGCAAAAAAAAATAGAGTAAAAATGTAATAGATATTACTAAAGCTACTGATGTAGTTGACATCTGCATCAAGTAAAACATCACATACTGAGAAATGCAGCAGCAGCCTTGCCCTGTGCCTGATCAGAGTAGGCAAACAAGCCAGCAAGCATTATGCTCTGCCTTCTTGAGTGGTTGTGGATATAAACTTGAGCCACACAGTGGTTTGATGACAACACATGTCTTAACAGATACCAAGCCACAGACCTGATCTGTGAACTGCTCTCACAGAGTGGGCTGGGAGCTACACAGACCTGGCTACCGAGTTCAGTCCTGTTAGTTATGAGCTTAACAAAATGTTTCTAAGTGTTGCTTCCCAGGGAGATATTCTAGTGACTAAGGAGAAGCTGCTGAGAATCTTAGCCCAGACAGTGCTGTTCTTAATTAATGTGCCAGAACACTCAGCTACTGCATGTTCATCTTTCTCACAGGTTGTTACGCGAAGAACTTTGGCCCCAAGGGATTTGGGTATGGCCAGGGAGCAGGTGCCCTTGTTCATGCCCAGTGAGGGGGCTAAAAACGCCTTCCAGCTCTGCTGAGATCCTGCCAGAAGGAACAAGAGAGTTTCCTAAATGTTACTAACTACTGTGAAACAGATACTAGTTACTGTAGTGTACCTTCAGCCAATGATTTTAAAAACAAACACACACACTGCTTTTTTCTTCGCCTTGTGTATCACACTGTAACACTTTTAATACTGAGTATCAATTCAATAAAGCTTTGCTTGTTGATATACCCTAAGTGTTGCCTACTTCGTCATCAGTAAATGTGAGGGGAGTGCTGCTGGGTACTTCAGGGGTGAAAGTTACTGTAGTGTACCTTCAGCCAATGATTTTAAAAACAAACACACACACTGCTTTTTTCTTCGCCTTGTGTATCACACTGTAACACTTTTAATACTGAGTATCAATTCAATAAAGCTTTGCTTGTTGATATACCCTAAGTGTTGTCGTCATCAGTAAATGTGAGGGGAGTGTTGCTGGGTACTTCAGGGGTGGAAAAAATGATGCTTTATAGACTTGATGCACAGCTCTGCTGAAAGCTGGACATACACAGTCATGGCCTTCAGAGCTGAATAACACTCCAATATCACACCATAATATATGCATGGCAAAGAGCTGCTCACTGCACAAAAGCAAATGATGCTTTATAGACTTGATGCACAGCTCTGCTGAAAGCTGGACCTACAGTCATGGCCTTCAGAGCTGAATAATTCTCCAATATCACACCATAATATATGCATGTGCAAGGCAAAGAGCTGCTCACTGCACAAAAGCAGTAAATCTTAATCTACTGCTCTGTATGGTGACACAGCTCGGAAAGTGACAGATAAGGGATACCTGTGTGCCTAAATGGCTGCCTGTCTCTGGCACAGTGTCTAGTAAATGAAAACCAAACCATAATATTCTGGGGCGCTGAGCATGCTGTAGTACTGAAGTTATGCACAGACCTTACCGTGCAGGAATATTTCACCAAGACAGCTGCAGATCAATAAGTTAGGTTAAAATAAAAAAGAACTTTGAAACTCTTGTCTGGTTTGCGAAGCAAGCTGATACTTTTTTTGGGATAAAAGAACCTTTCACAACACTGAATTTATGGAAGCACATATAACTGGGACTGGGACTGCTGCAATGACACATTAAGCAAGTGTGTCAGCATGGTCTAAAGCAGTTTCAAGCAACATCTATGACCACGGTCTGAGGCAGTGAAGCAGTTCGAGCCAAAAGCCTAATTAGAAAAATATGTACTACTCTAATACACAAAGAGCATTTTGTACAGGTTATAAAAGAACCATGTGGATAGGAGGAAAAACAAGCCAGCTCAGTGACCCAAGAGCTTGTCCAGTTCACAGAGCAGGAAAGATTAGAGTTGAAAAAGACAACAGTAACTCTGAAGCAGCACATTTCAAGGTGGGAGTGAGGCAGCAAACAACAGCACAGCCTAGGAAACCTAGGAAAAACTCTGTCCTGCTAACCATCAACATTGCTTTCATAGGAGGTCTGATTTTACTAAAGGAAATTTTTTCAAGGAAGTCTGATTTTACTAAAAGGCAGCTAATGGGAGGTGCAAGGCACTGAACCGTAGTTGAGGTATATGGGGGTGCAGAGGACTGGCTTCTTTCCAAAAAACCCCAAACCCAGGAATCAGCTTTCAAATCATCAGGACTCCCAAGCACAGCAATTCCTCTGATGGAGCACTGCAAATCTTGGATGGAGATCTTCAGCACAGGTCAAAGTCTGCCCTGGTCACTTCCTGACAAGCCAAAGGGTGGTCAGCCCAGACACAGCCTCACCAGGAAGACTGCTTTGGGAAGGGGAGAACACCACCACCAATTCTCAATGTCAATACCAAAACAGGACTCAGTGGAAAACACTTTTTTCCTCCCTTTAGATGTGCTCCTAAGTCCTAGCCTTACACTGTAATACACATTGCTGGTTATAAATATCCTGATTAGATTAGAACTCTGTTATCTTGTTTCTACTCAAACCCTAACCTTTAGCATGGATCAGAATAGCCAAGGCAGTCTGTGTCCTGCAAGTGCCACCCTAAAGGACACATCTTGGTGACACATCCTAGCTCTATGCAGATGCCTGGCTGACGCTTAGGATACCTCAAACGTCATTATGTAAGTACATTAGGCCACGTGAAACATTCCCTAGATGGAGTTCTCCCTTAAGAAATGTTACCTTGCCAGCAGGCTTCACTCAAAAGACAGGAATATTTAACTGGTGAATGCCAACTTTAATTGGTAGTACAAAGGTATAATTTACCACAGTAGTAACTCATAGGATTTTGCATCTGTACAGATTTGAGTGCATGCCATCTGTAAGACACCTGTACATTTTTCCAGAAAGGCTTCTGAAACTGGACACCAACTACACTGTATGAAATCACACCCCAAGTCAATACAAACACTGCATCTAAGAGTCAATATTTATTTGATTAATAACTTACAAAATTTAACAGATTTAATTTATGTAAGGAGAGCTAGTTTATTAAACATTTTACAGATTTTTTTTTTTGTTCACAATACACATCAAGATCTCGACAGTATTAAAATAATACTTGGCACAGTTATAAATAATATACAAAAAAATCCACAGCTTAAAATGTAGTGATGCTGTTTTACACATTAATTGAAAAAAAATCTGGTGGACCTCAAAGAATACAAAAACCTGCAAAGAAACAGCACATGTTTAGGGCCAAGACAAAATTCCTATTTACTCTACCTATGTCAGATTAAGTTGCTCTGATCTGCTGTTGGTCTGGATCAGCTTAAGTTTCAGAAGCAATGCAGTTTTGGTTCAACAAGTGAATTTTAAGTTTGATAACTTGACAGAAAAAATGCTGCATAGTTGGCTCCCCCCGCTTGCTTTATAATTTCACATCAACAATTCAGTGTTACTCAAGACAAGTTACATTTTACACTGGAAACTTCATACATCCTAAATCATATATGCATGTCAATTTTCACAACTACCTACTATCGCTCAGATTTTGGAGGTCTCAACAAATCTGTCACCAGAGAGCTACTGACATGTAAATAGTGCAGAACTTGCTACGTGCTACCAAGGATCACCTCTTCTTTTGCAAACATTTTTGACATGGAGTGCATGATGCAATTCATGGCATTTAATGCTACTGGGCAAATATGACTGAACTTGCATCATGCACTGAACTGCTCTTCTGGTGCCTGGGTGATATTTTATAAAGTGTATTGAAGCTCCTCAAGTCAACCAACCCCCAACTAAAATGTGAAAAAAGAAATGAATGAACAAATATGCAAACATCATTGGTGATTAAAACAAACCATAGTGTAAAGCTTTCATGCTTTTTTCTGATTAGAAAAAAATATGGACAACTGAAGTCAATTGTTTTCACAGAAATAGAGCATGTTTTTGTTAGCATTACAAATTTTGTCTGACAACAGTAGCCAAAGCTTCTTCATCCCTATACCCAAACCTCTCCTGTTAAAAGTGTCCAAGACAACATTGATTTTTCCAGTATTAAACATTCAAGGACTCTAATGCTGCACTTCTGTAAATCCTGATATCTGGTACTTGCAAACTAAGTGTGTGTCTTGAGATCAATGAACAACTACAGAAAAAATGTTTACTTGCAAATACTGAACATCAACTATTTACAGTTTCACTGCTCCTCCTACTAAGGCAAGGGCCGGGAATACCACTAGATTGCTTTATTACCTGTAATCTGCGTATTACAGAAAACGCTAATTTTGCCAAGCATCAAACATGCAGTGAATTTGCAGGGCATAATGCCTATTAACAGCAATATTTAACATCACTAAAAGCTCATTAGATATCTTCCTATACTTTTTTGGTTGAATAAAATGAAAATGAGCAGCTTTAAATACACTAAACACACACTCACAGAGAGAAAACTATTTGATAAATTATTTATATACAGATACACATTCTTTACACTGGTCTCAGACATCTGCTTTCAGGACCCTCCCCAAACTCCCCTCACAGGTTCCTTGAACCACTGGGTTGCTACAGCACTTAGAAGAGAACTAAACTGATTCTCAGTCTCTCTGTAAACAATAGTTAAGGAAGCAGTGAACAATTCACTATGAATATATGAAAACACCATAACAAAAATCAGTGCATCACATTCAAAAAAAGCCCCTTTGGAATGCAATTTCAGATCATTCCTTACCTTCTAAACACATCTGTAGCATGAGAACTTAAAAACAGAAATTAAGGGTGATTTCCACGTGCCAATACACCACCTTCTTCAGAACACTGCTCTGCATTTTCTGTGTGCACGTGCCATTATGGGGATTCATAATTTTTTGTTTTTGTTAAAGTTGGGTTCCATTATTTCACATTCAAACGAAATAAGCATTTGAGGCAACTTTGGGTTCTTCTTCTCCAATTGCATTCAATTTAAAACTATCTTGTCTTTTTATAACTGAGACTTTTGTTACATTTGTAGTATCCCTCACGTAATTTCTCTTCCAACATGTCTCCAAATACACTACACTGTTCTGTATGAGGACCAAACCTAATACTAAAACACTGCTAGTCTGTAAGTTGCTTATACAATTACTTCAAAGATAATTATTTTTTCCCACTTTTTTCCCTGAACATTATATACTGTAAACTAATTTTACAGGTGCATCATGCATTTAGGCAGGGCTTTAACTTTGACAGAAAAGCTTTCCTTGTTGGCGCAGCTGTTTATTTCAGACTATATTTCAGAACAGGGTTATTACAAGTATTTAGTTGTACCACTAACTGGTGGCAGAAACAATCACCAAAAAACGTGGGCAACATATTTTTACTCAACATTATCTGACGTGCCTTACTGCTATAACTTAACATGTTACAGGGGATCCCCACCACAGGATGTTTATAACAGTACTGAAAAGCACATTTTTCAATGTACATATTACTACAGAAAATCTGTATTAAAAAAAATCACATTACAGGAACTACAACATAGCGATCAGTGAACTCCATATCATGAAATTTAGTTTTATATTCTAGATTCTTGTTTCAGTGGAATTATTGATATTGGGATACAATTTTTTTCTGCTCAGCACAATGTAACTACTTATGTCAATACTTCAATAATCTCATGCTCCATTGTGAAAGACCTTAAATAAAAAACCTGATAACAAATACTGTGAATATGTTGTCATGAATAATTCTCATGTTAAGAACTGTTAAAATCCCTTTTTGATCTTCCTCCTCTTCCTTATCAGGTTTGGCAGT